CCTGCTGAGGTCTGCACTTGACCCAAGACTCCGCAGTACAGTCCTTTAGCTTGGCATGCCGGGGAACCAGTTTGCTTCAAGAGAGTTCACTGTTTACACACTGGCTCTTCAGGATGGAGACATCTTTGCTTCCATCCTCTGTGGATACCGTAGGTACTTAGCAAGCACTCAGTGCAGCTTTGCTGAATGAATTTCACTTTGAGCAGTTAAAGCAAAGGTCTGCAATGGTGGTCCTGGTCCTTAATCTCCCCAACTCCCCACATACTTACCTTCTATAACAAACCCATCAGTGCTAGAGTTTGAAACAGCCCCAGGTGATTTTGATATAAACTCACCCCCTCTATTTGAAAACCATTGACCAAAATATAAAAAAGCAGTTTTTGGAGTCAAAGAAAAGGACATACAGAATAAGAAGAAATGTATTCCTTTTATAAATTGTTGCTAGAGGGCAAGGAAAAGAAGTTGTCTTTCTTGTTCTTTCGCACAATTAACCTTTAGTAAAAGTAAATGATCATTTCAGGAGGTACACTCTGACCAAGAGTGACTTTTGATGGTAGCATAGTTCTGTTTTCTCTTTTTCCTGTTCAATGAAAATAACGCCAGCTTCAAAGCACTGGTAAAACTCTTTACTTTACAAAAGGAAGCAACTGACCCGCTACAGCCTGTTGAATAAGTAAAGCTCCACACTTGGCCTTCTGATTCCTTCAGGGAGCTAAATCATTCATCAAACATTTATTGAGACTCTGATATGTGCCAGCTACAGGGCTAGGTTCCAAAGCTAGGAAGACAGTAAGATAGAATTCCCGAGTCATTTTCCTCTAGTGAGGACGTAGCTATAGACATGCACAGCTGTATGTCTATACCACAAAGTAGCTATAGACATGCACAGTTTGCTATGATAGCTGTTCATAATTATTATCCCTTTGAGTTCTGAGGATCAGTAATGATATCCCCCTTTTATTCCTGTTATTGGTAATTTGTGCCTTTTATTGATTTATAGGTTTTTTTAGAGGAATATCTGATTTTATTCGTATTTTCAAAGAGCCAACTTTGATTTTATAGGTTTTCTCTGTTTTGTATATATATATTTAATTTTTGCTCTCATTTCCTTTTACTGTCTTTAGGTTTAATTTGCTGTTCCTTTTTTTTTTCTTTTGATACATACATAGAAAATTAGTTTTCAGCTTTTTTTCTTTTCTAATATATGCATTTAAGACAACACATTTCCTGCTAAGCATGGATTGAGCTACATCTTACAAGTTTTGATGTGTCATATTTTTATAATCATTCAGTTTAAAATATTTTCTAATTTCTCCTGTAGTTTCTTTTTTGACCCATGCATTATTTAAAAGTATAATTATTTTCAATAACAATACTTTTGGCATTTATTCTTAGTTATACTATGATGGAAGGACATATTCTGTATGGTTTTATTCCTTTGATATGTGTTGAGATTTGCTTAATAGCTCATTATATGGTCAATTTGGATAAGGATTCCATGTGTTTTTGAAAGTATTACTCATGTTACAGTTGTTGGGTGCATACGTGAATTGAGTCACGTTTTTAAACATGTTGTGAATCTTCTATATCTGTTGATTTCTGTTTGCTTGTTTAGTCATTTACTGTGTTAATCTCCCACTAAGATTGTTAGTCATTTTAGTTGTCAGTTTCTGCTTTATGTGTTTTAAAACTGTGATTACTTGGATAAAAAATTGGGATTGTGATGTATTTGTGGTGGATCAACTCTTCTAACATTTTGGAATGTCCCTCTTTTATCCCTGGTGATGCTTCTTACTTTACAGCTTCTTTTGCCTGATATGATAGCTGTGTGAGCTTTTTCGGTTAGAATATGCATAGTATATTTCTTTCCATATTTTTTTTCTTTTGGCCATTCTCTGTCTTTATATTCGACGATGTGTGTCTCTTGTAAGTACAGTATAGTTAAGTGGTGTCCCCACCCCTACCCCCGTCTTTTGCTTGGCAAACTTAGTCTCTTGATATTTAAGTAATTCTTGAGACTTTGAGGATTAGCTGTGAATCTTACTGTTTTCTATTTGTCCCATCTATTATGTGCTCTTTTTTCCTTTTTCTTACGTTTTTTTGGATTAAGCATATTTAAAAAAATAATTCCATATTTTTAACTCCTCTATTACCTTTTTATGGTTTTTAAATTCTTTCAGTTATTGATTTATTATGACATGAATTCATAACATATCAGCCATACTTTAATGCCTTACCATAACCTGGGTAAGACAAGAACCTTAGAAATAAGTCTTCATTTACCCCTTCTGCTTTTTTTTGTTACGCATTTTAATTCTGTATTTTAAACACCACAAGACATTCCTATAATTGTTCTGTAAAGTCAGTACCCTTTTGGAGCTCTTCGTTCTTTTCTGCAGTTCCTTGCTTTTCCCTTGTGCCTGAAAATTCCTGCT